GGGCAGGGAAAAGCAGAAAAAAAAACCAAAACAAAGAACAAACAGAAAGAACCAAAATGAGAGACCCAATGGCAGAAGCGAGTATGATATGAAAATCCGTGGACAGAGGAGGAGCAGACAGATGCCACGAAGAAGAGAGGGGAGGAGGGGGCAGAGCAGAGCGCCTGGGAGGGAGCGGCGGTGCGGGGAGAGGTCGCGGCGGGCTGCGCAGGGCCTGCGGCAGAGCCCAGCCCGCGGAGGACCTCGCTCTGGGGCCCAGGGACCGTGCAGGGGACAATGGCAGAGGGGCCGTAAGAGGGCCCAGGGCTGGGCGGGGCCCACCTGCCCCTCTGGCTGGGGGCTGTGCTGCTTTATTCTGTAGCTCACAGCTCAAGCCCGGGTTCTCGCCTGGAAACGGAAGCCGAGGGCAGAGTGCTGGGGAGATGGGCAGGGTGGCAGCAGGCAGGGACCCACATCCCACAGACCAGCCAGCGCTGCCACACCCTGGTCCGTCCTCCTTTGAGGCCACTTAACCATGAACCTCCTGTCCTAAGCCGGACCCAGCACTGCTGGGCCTCGGAAGGAGGGGCCTGTCCCAGGCTGGCGCTTCCGGGCCCCAGCTGTCCCTTCCTGGCCGCCAGCTCACCTGCTGCGGTGCTCTCGTTGCCCACAGGGGTGCTGGAGCAGCTTCGGTCCATGGTGGAGGACTCAGAGGACATGGCGCCCGGGCTGCAGCCAGTATAATCCATGTACTCGTCCGTCTCGGTGTCCATCAAGCTCGGGGGGCCCTGAAAGGAAGAGGGGGGCCCTGAGGAAGCTGGGCTGGGGGCTGTGCTGCCCACAGGGGCAGGCTGTGGCTTTGGGTGGCCTGGCCCACCACCTGGAAGCAAGAGCGGGACACGAGCGATGCCCTCTTGGAGCCCAGGTCGCAGAGGGGCAGCCTGCCCGCCAGGCTCACCTGGGAGGAGGGCACGCGATCGAAGTTCTTCCCCAGCATCCTTCTCATGTGCTTCCGGGCGTGGGAGGTCATCTGGTGCTTGAGGAGGAAGGAGAACTGGCAGCCCTCCCGGATGCAGTGGAAGTGGCTGTTCACCTGGTTGTACTTGCAGCCTGTGGACACAGCCCCGCTTGGCCGTGAGCCTCCCCCGCCGGCCAGTGCTCATGGCACCCCCTGCGTGTCGGGCACTGTTCTGGGCATGGGCCTACGTGGCCAACCAGGCAAATGGCTTCTGGGGAAAGGGCGCCTCCCCATTGGTGGTGTTCCCATTAAGGAGGGCTTCTGGCAGCCTCTCACCCCAACCCCAGAAAGTCCCAGGCCCCCTGGCTGTCCAAAGCCTGGCTCTGGCCTCCAGCCTGCACACCTGGGACAACAGCAGGCTGCCCCTGGCCCCTGCCCCAGGGCAGGGGACCCTAATGACCTGTCCACTAGATCAGCCACCTCCCAGCAAGCCACCTGTCCCCACATCTCCTGTGGGGAGCCCAGGTGCTGCCTGCCCCCGGACCAGGTCAAGATGGCTGCGAGCTGGCTGGCCCTCTGCCCTGCCCGGCCCCACCTCGGCTTTGCTCTGGGCGGAGAACAAACAGAGCGAGCCGGACTGAAATGGTATCAGCAGAGGGCAGGTGAAGGCCTGCCCGTTGCCATGGCACCTGAGCCGGCCAGGTGTCTTATATCATCCCCCAGCTTTGTTTGGCCCCAGCTACCACCCAGAACACCCAAACTGAGTAAATAACGGCAACTGCGGAATACCCTGACACCTGTAAACTGAGCCCAGGGACAGCACAGGCCACCGAGGGTTGACATCTGTTGCCGTGATTCCCAGGTCTCTCTCAGGCCATTAATGATTTCTGAATTAATTCTTGAAGGAAAGGTTTGTTGCCGTTCTTTTCTGGCAGTCGACTTTTGACTGCCTCATCCTCCTCCTATGTAGTGGCCGGTCAGTTGCAGGCAGCGGCCCCACCTCTGCTCCCCCTGGACCCTGCTGCCATGACCACCTGAATCACAGCAGGCCTTGCATGGCAGCCCAGGTGTCTGCACCCAGCCTGCCTGGCTCCCACCTGCCTTCCGGCTTCCAGTCTCCTCGTGGGCAGACTCCTGCCTCACATCTGCAGGCCCATAAATGAGTGGCTCCATTCTGAGGTGGGAGGATGGGCTCTGCCCTCCCTCTGCTGGTCCTGGAGTCCCCTCCCCACAGCATCCCCAGGGCAAGCTGGGGCCAGCGAGCTCCTCAGGGAGGCCTTGTTCCAGGGCTGGGGGGCAGCTTCCCTGCCAAGGGCTCAGCTCTCAGCAGCAGAGTTAACTCCGAGGCACCTGCCCCTGAGCTCAAGGCCACTTCCTTGCCCCGTGGCCACCTCCTTCCAGGTCACCCCAGGTCACAGATGCTCTGGGCTGAGCCCACAATGTACCTGCTGGTCCTATCCCCAGCACCAAGCACAGTGCTGGCCACAGTGGACGCTCAAAAGAGACCATAGCTTCCACTCCTATCCACCCCTCACCTCCTGCAATAGCACAGAGCCTGGCACACGGCCGCTCCTCCATAAACATCTGCTGAGCGAATGAATGAACAAATGAACAAACCACGGTCCATTTGGGATAAAACCCTAGTAACTTCAGGAGCTCCTAAGACTTACCTGCAAAGCTCTCTTGAAAAGAAAAGGAAAAAAGGACCAGGCCTGGGTGCCAGAGACGAGGCTCCGGGCATTTTCACTGGGGTGGGTGCAGTGCTGGGAGTCACCCTCACCCCTTTTCCTAGGCTCTTGGGGTTCTGACTATTCTCCTGGTTTGATAATGCCTGGCCTGTGATATCATGACATCATTTTCCAGAAAAAAAAACATGGAGCCTGATGTGCGGGGACAAGAAGTGGGCCCCGGGGCCTCAGGCGCCAGAGCCGCGGCCCTGCCGCCTGCTGTAGTCCCCTGGCCCCCCGCCCTGGCCTCCGGTACCTAGCCTGCCGCAGCCCTGGCCTCCGGTACCTAGCCTGCCGCACTCCTCGCGCTTGGTGAAATACTTGAATCCGTTGGCTGCCCGCCGCTCAGCCTTCTCATGCTTCTTGACGTGCCACGGCAGCTTGGTGGTGATGTTGGTCACAAAGTAGCAGCCGGTCCTGAGACAGTGGTAGTGCCCGCGCGCCCGGAACTCGCAGTGCTGCAGGGAGGGACAGGAGTCAGGGCCGGGCAGGCGACTTCCGTTAAGCTTCCACCTGCTCCAGCCCTCTAGAGGGCTGTGGCAGGCGTGCGTCCTTGCACGTTCAGAATCAGCAAACACAACTGTGTAAAGACCTTTCACGTGTTAAAAAGCAGTAAGTCCCTTCTGTCATTTGATTAAAACATCCCACCTGGTATTGTTTCCATCTCTTTCCAAACCCACGCCCAGCACAGACATCACTAACCTGTCTGAGCACTCTTGTCTGTGTGCCCAGACCTAGGCAGACATCACTAATCTATCCTAGCACTCTTCTCCGTGTGCCCAGATGGAGGCTCAGACTCCTTCTCAATGCACTCTGCCAGGCAGCCCCTACAAGTCTTGGGAGTAGGTCTTTATAATGCATCTGACCTGCCCTTCCTGTCTGGGGCACGGACAGTTCAATCTCTTTATCTGTCTAATGGGCCTATTTTAAAATCCTAGGCCTCTGGGGAAAGGGAGCATAGCTGTTCCAGGACGCGCACAAGGATGCCAAGTGCACAGTGGCTGCCCAGCATACAGTCATCATTGAGGGTTAGGATGAAATGACAGACCTCACCAACTGAGCACCAGAAGCTGAACTCCTGCCTAGGGGTCTCCAGGGACCTAGGGGCAGACGGTGTCCTTTCCAGACTCTGGAGGAGGCCACTTACAAAAGGGTGTGAGACACGGAGCCTCGGCCAGGAGGAGCTGGTCCGGGGCCCTGCGCCTCCCTGCCCCCACCCCAGGCCCCACCCTGCCCGCGTCGCTGACCTGGTTGGGACAGAGGCACTGCAGGGAGTAGTACGCAAACTGGTCTCGCACGTTCACGAGGTTGTTGTTGGGATTGATGTGGTCCAGGCAGTGGGACTCGGCCTTGCCGGAGGTTTTGCAGACGTACTTGCAGTTCCCAAAGAGACAGTGGAAGTGGAACTTGTTGGCATACTTGCAGTCCGTTGCGAGGCAAGGATCGCTGGAATGAAACCACGGCCCAGAAGGTCATTGGTTGGGGTTCCGCTCCCCACTCCCCTGTGGTGTAATCAAGAGGAATGGCCCCTGGGCTGCCCTCCTGCTCAGCAGGACGATTCGGCCAGAGACTACAGATCCCAGCATGCAGTCTTGCCTTCTTTTTAGAGCTCTGATGGCGCCGAAGGGACTGCGGTATGCAGGCGGCCCAGAGCACTGCATGCTGGGACACGTAGTTTCCGTGGCCACACCCCAGGATTACAGATAAGGATGGCCGCAATCGCTTCGTGGATATGAAAATGAGCGATGGTGCTGCCAGGCCTGGCTGATGTGGCATTGGGCAGTGCCCTGGCTGTGGCCGACTGACAGGGTGCAGATGGGTGGGCAGCCCTACCAGGAGGCTTTGCCACCACGGGGCCTTGGCCAGTGGGAACGTGTGCCTGGCGTCAGGTCCTGCTGAGGCTCAGCTGCTGGAGTTTCCAGGGTCAGCTCGGGGCTCGGGGCTGCCACCCACTCAGGGAACCTCACAAGCCAGCTGAGTGGTGGGGCGGCTAGGGTGGGGAGGGGTGCTGGGCGAGCCCCCATGGCTGGCCTGCCCCGAGCAGCAGCCCCAGCTCCAGAGCTCTGCCTTCCAGGCTCCAGGCAGGTACGGAGGGGCTGCACCCGGCTTCTGCCCTGGCTGACAACACAGCCGCCCCCGACATCCACACTGGACCTGGGGTGGGAACTCCGACCAAGGCCAGGTTGCTGAGAAGGCTGCCACTTTGGGGAGGTGAACAGAGGAAGGGAAGCTGGGAAAGGGGCAGAGAGGAGGGCAGGTTCCCTTCCACGCCGTGGGCCCAGCCCCAGGTGCTCAGAGAGGGAGGACAGCTGCCAGTCAGGCGGTGTGTGTTCACGTCCAATTTATTACTTTTATTGAGAACAGGAAGCCGCACATATCATGATACAGAGTCACCGTTCTCGCCGCAGGGAGACACCACCATCCAGCGAGGAAGGTCCCTCCCTTCCACCCCTGAGAGCTCAGACCATTGTGCAGGTTGGGGGGGGGGTGTCCAGAGGAGGGCCTAGCCCCCTCGCCGCCCACCTATGACTTTGCTTGCCCTGCAGAGACTCAACCATGGGTGTGAGCCACAGAGACCAACAAGGGGACCCGGAGGGAGACGCAGCCCGCCTTGCCGGGCGAGGACCGCCACTCCTGGCCCACCCAGGCTGGTCCTCGCAGCGTCACCAGTGGCCTCTCTGGAACAGTGGCCACTACCTCCACCATCTCCCCCCACCCCGGCCACCTGCTCCGGGAATAGGCAGTGAGGTCTGAGCAGCAGCAACTTTGGCTAGAAGGACATCACCCAGTGACCGTGTCCCAGAGAGGCTGGGGACAGCCTGGGCTACCGCAGGGGAAGGAGCAGGGCCTCCTCAGCTGCCCTTACTAGCACCTACTCCCGAGACACATGGGGGACACAGGGCTCCCGGCTCATCGAGGGACTCACTTCTCCTGGAACTGGAGGAATCCGGGTTTGACCTGGGGCTTGGCGTTTTCTAGAGAAGTCGTTGCCAAGGGCGAGGTGGGCAGGTGAGGCACTGACGCTGGAATCTGAGGCATCTGGGGTATGGTGGAAGCCAGCTGCTTCCAGGCGAGCAGGGTGGGGCTGGAGGGCACTGCAGCCAGGCTGGGAGTGGGCCCCTCGAGAGAGGAAGCCGTGGCCGTGGTGATGGGAGGCGCTGGAGGGGGTGAGGGGGCCAAGGAAGGTTTGGTCTCAGCAGCCGAGGCCAGGAAGGAAGCCTCCACATTTCCTTTCACTGCTCCTCCCTCTGTCCGGAAGTGGAAGCTACGAGAGACAGGAGAGGGGTCTCAGGTGCGGGAGAAGGCCCTTCCCTGGCATGCCTGCCTGCCTGCCTGCCAGCCTACGTATGACCCCATCACAAGCCTAGGGGCCCAGTGTCCCCACCGCATCTTCAGTGCCAGGTGCCAGAGGCCTCCCACCAGGGGGGAAGGACTGAGAACACACTGCTATGTCCTCTGATCTTGATTGAACTTGGGCTCCTGGCTCTGCCCTAACTACACCTTCCTACTCGTGACCTTCCTGATGTGCTGTCCCTAGCTCCTCCCTACTCGGGAGGGGGTGGGTACAGCAGGTCCTGGCTCATGAAGCCCGTCCTTCCAGAACCTGCTCCGACATTTAAAGGGGGGGGGGGGGC